ATGTGCCATATACAATTGGGATTGACTATTTCTAATAAATTTTAATCGATTCAAAAAAGCTGTCTATATTTAATTAAAATCCATTCTAAAGTAGGGAAAAATTATCCAGCGTTTTATTATTAATTACGAATAGTAGATCTTTTTAAGAAAACAAATAGTTTGATATCTTTAGGCAATATCGTGTATTAAACATACTTGTTATCATTATTATTATACATCTAAAGTTTTATTAACTTCTTTCATATCATGATACTGAAATTTTGAAATTGAATAAATCAAATTTTATTTTTGATCAAATTAGAGATATAAAAAATTTATAATTCTAAAAAATGTTTTTCGATTATTTTCTTCATAATGAATACTCTCTAGTTCATACATTGGAAAATCATAAATTTTAATATTTCGGAGTTTTTCATAAATGAATCGGGTAATAAGAAGTTTGTATCATTGGAAGGCAACGATCAGTTATTAAATAATACTGCGTATCAAAATTGCGTTATATTATCACGTTTGAATATACAAATTAGTTCGTTTACGTATATTATTTATTAATAATAGGATAATTTTATCTATGTTTCTACTTGCAGATGTTTAAAAAAATTCATATAAATTTTGAAGTGGTATTGTGAAACGAATAACAAGAAATATTTTATTTTATTTTTTAGATGACATATTTTGGGGTATTTCGCATTTATTTTAGCTTTTTGGAATTAATTCTTTGTCGTGCATTGATGTAGGCAATGATTTATGCGAAATCAATGGCAGATGAATTTTATTTCTATTAGAAACTGTAATACTTTGTTTAAATTTCCAAGTGAATATATAATTTTTTCAATTCAATTCCATTTTCAATTGTCTCTTATAATAATGAGAAAATAATACTTGAGAAATATATAACATTTGTATTTACTGATTAACAATGATTAACTGATTAACAATGATTAACAAATGATTATAAATGATTATAAAATGGGAGAATAAAATAATAAGACTAAGTAAATAATTATTGAACCAATACTATGTTGTTACTACATATTGTATTATGCCACTGTTTGACATATCTAACAAAAATAATTGATATTTTCAAACTATGGAAAATGTCATCTCCTTAGATGTCCGTTCTTAGAAATACTCATATATTGCGTCAAATATTGGATATTTGTGGAATTCATATTATTTATTATTAATTTTAAAGCAATAAAATTAGTTTCAGATTTTTACCCTGAGTATTTACTATTGCACTGTTTAGAATGATTTTCTGTTGTATGATTATATGTTTACAGCGATTGATAAGGTAGGCCGACATATTAAATAATAAATATGCCTTGTCATACACGTTACAACATTTTTGAAAATCAACTAAAAAAATACAACTAAAAAAAGCATAAGTATATATTCTTTCAACTATTAATATAATAGATTGGAATATATAATTAGGATTGAATCTATATATCTTCTAAAAGAATATATTGGAAATATCTATTATTATTAAAGCCAACTTTAACTCAAGATATATCATTCATTCTGATACATCATTTCATTTATAAAAAAATATCAACAGAAATTTAGAAAATAATGATTAGAAAAATCCTGATGCGACTTTGTGGTATTATAATAAATGAACTTATAACTAGTGTATTACACGTATTGCCATGCAAATGTGTACCTTCTCAAATCGAAAAATTTGCGTTTTTCGATAGTAATAATATATACATTTCTCTTAAGCAATTTTCTGTCTTCTCCTTCGTCAATTTATCTAAGCCAACCTATCTATGCATGTAGAAATAGATATATCATTCTTTATACATTCATTACCGTATGTCATCCATTCAGAGTTGGTGTGTCTGATAAAGAATGAACCCGATTGAATCTACGATTTTTCAATGTTGTTATAGCTTCCATAAGATCGGTTCGTTTACTGAAGAAGTCTACTATTGCCTGACCAGTCAAAGCTGACGCTAAAAACTGTTCAATGGTTATCGACCAATCGGGATCAGCAGATGATGCTATACTCGATGGATTTCCATTACGATCGGGTGACTAAAGTGAGAAAAAGATATCGAATTAGCTTATCATAATTGATAGATTATTAATATAAATAAAAATATATACCCTTTCGATCGTTGAAGCTTGTTGAGCTGCAGAAGCAGCTAAAAGTAAGCTATCTTCAGATTCTTCTCTCTCTACATAAAATTTCTTGCCAACATCTCCTAACTGAAGCAAAAGAGTGCCTACGGATTTTGTATTATTTTATTCAATTATCGTTAAATATTATTACAGAAGAGAGTTTTAAATATATTCAACATAAATATGTTACCTATGGAAGCGATACAATGATATGTTTCCTGTTCCTCGGGTTGAGCAGGAAACATGTCGTAAAGAGTTTTCCATAATGCTATAAAATGTCCTTGCGACATTTTTGGCACGGTTTTAAGATCTAATGGACTGTCCTTTGATGCTATCATCGAACGCAAGCTACCCATACTCTGAACTTCCCACGACTGATCACCTTGCTGACTGTTCAAGCTCGTAGATCGTGATAGTGTACCTACAGTCGGCTCTTCTGCTACACTAATCGGCATTTCCAAGGAAGCTACACTTTGCTCCATACTATCAAAGAAATCTGTAGCTTCTGCTGCTACTTCGGCTCCATCTGACCAATTTATAGATTTATATTGTATTATAAATAGAATGTTATACTTTTTACATTATTATTAAATTTACCTGCTGAATGTGTTGGCGATTCAAAGTCGGCAGGTGTAAGAAGTGGTGGTAAATGCAATGTATACAATAATTTTAATCTTTGTGTCAAATCAGCTGTCGCAGTCATCCCTATAGCTTGTACTAATTCTCGGAAATTTAGCAAACCGTCGCGATTACGATCCATCAACTAAAAAATATTTTTAAATGAATTAATCGCATATTGTATTTGTAACTATGTAATATATGATTTTTTAGAACAAATTTTAATTTCAAAATTATATAAATGAATGAAAAGAAATCGATTGATTTATTTATAAAAACTTACACGGAATAATCGAGCGGAAAGAGATTCAGCCTGAGTGCATTTTCCCCATGGAGACAGACCACCGAATAATATTCTGAATAAATCAAAATCTACTTTATACGCTTCATATGGTGGTTGGGTTGGATCATAGCGGTCGGGTTCGGATTTTCGTTGACTCATTAATTCCTCTCTTACTAAGCTTAATAGTTCCTGTATATACATAACAATTAAAATATTTATACACATTCCAGAATTTATTTATATGAAAAAAATTATTCTGCATTACCTGCAATTCCTCTATTTTCATATATTTATCAACGACTACGCTTCTGATTACATTCTTCTCAATTCCATCCTCGAGACTTTGAACTACCCTCAGTCTGTGCTTTAGACGCAATCTTTCTATCCAACCAATTGTCAAAGATCCATACCTCAAGTACGCCTCATAGATTAAGGTTTGAACAGATATACTCTATAATAGTAAATCTTAGTTGTATTTTCATTTATTTATTTATTACACGAAATATATGAAATAACCAAAATATATGTGTATCCTTGCCTTATTAGGGGATGTGCTATCAACTGGTCTAGGAAATATTGGACCTTCATCGTTATAAACGCCACCAAGATAATCTGTTAGCAATTGCATAGCTTCTCCATCATCGCGACAATTGAGTAACTTATCTTGATTCCATTCCAACACTGTCAATGCTATCTGATAGAGTAAGAAAGATCTATTTTAAATATCTTTGTATTTATTATATATAACAATAGTAAAATAATTTGATTCAATTCCAAAATTTAGATTGTTATAATAAAATAAATTAAAGATTATTTAAAATTAATAATTATAATAAAAATTATAGTAAAATTATAGTAAAATTAAATTTATTCACAATAAAAGCATTCTATGGAAATAATCTATCATAATTTAATAAATTATTTTTGAAATAATAGTTAGAAAATCTCTCATTAATTAAAAATATATTTAAAACTATGTTTTCTATGTTCAGTTTCTTACCTGAAAATAACTTTTGCCCCATCGTAGAAGAAACAGTCCATAATATTCACAGCACTGCTGGTTGGCATGACGCTCAAAAATATAGTTAAAAACCAAGATAACGAGATAACTTTAATTAAACCAAGTTCTTGTAATTTGGCATGTAAAACTGGCAAATGTTCGGCAGCCAGTTCTTCTAAAAGACCTTGGTCAACAAGAGCACCGACTACTCTCCGATCATAGTAATCGGGCAGTAATGATTCACAAACATTACATAACTGCCAGAACGCTGATTCCTCAGAGCAGTAAATTAGAAGAACGGAAGCTACTATATTCATCGCCTGACAATAACCTACAGAAACAAACATTTATAAAAATTTTTAATTCGTATTAACATAATATAACAGATAAATATTTAATAATTATTAATTATTTTTAAGAATATTCATGTTTTATGTTTGACACTTAAGGACTGTCGGTTCTTGATAAATTGCCATTTAAAAATAAATAAAAAAATTTTAGACTTACCAATCTGAGGATTTCGCCATGCATAAGCAGATAGCACTCTTCGCAGAGCACTAATTCCAGTATCAGACTGGAAAGCTGGATGCTCCGGTAACGATCTATGCAAATCTCTTTCGATTTCCTCGTTTGCTTGACACGATTTACCAAGAGATTGTTCGACTAATGATTTATATAAGTCTGGATTCATTGCCTTCTCATTTAAGGCACCTTTAACAAAATGACATATTCTGTATATTAAAATTTAGTTTAATTATTTATGGGGTGTCACTTTGTCTTTTATTTATATATTACCAGAAAAGGTGAGCCAAACTTCTCCTCTGAGGGATTGCGGGATTCCTTGAATAACGAGCTTCGCAGTTTCCGTAGTTCTGTACATTGTAATTCCTCTTCCGTATTCCGCAAAGTGGAGTTCCCATTGCTTCTCTTTAGCTTCTTGCTTTAATGCTGCTTCAGGAGTCAATGGAGCCTTAAAAAGCACCATCAATGGTGGCTGAGGCTTCCATTGTTCTGTAAGTTTCGCTTCTTCGCAATTGCTGATGTTATTTGAGGAATTCGGCGAACATATGTTATCTTTAGTTCTATAACAAAATTCATGTTGTCACATCTATATATTATATCTATACTAGAAAATATAATGCTAAAGATATAATTAAGTTTACATACATATAATTAAGCTTAGACTTTGCTAAGAGCTCGGAGATTTTCTGAACCACGAAATCTCTGTCGTGTATTTGAGCGAATAGAAACGATGCCCGCGTTGTTGTAACTAATATTGACTTATCTGCTCCTGTGTTGGATTGATTTTCTGCTGATTCAACAAGTGTTACTTCTCTCAAAGGTATGACTAAACTCACTTGTCGTCTTACCTAAATGGGTATGAGTAATAAGTAAATCATTATTAATTATTATTTTATGTTTAAAGTTCATTTAGAAGAAGATATTTACCCTACTTTCAAAACAAAGATAATTTTGAGATAAGTATATCTTTCCCCAGACATATCTCTTGTTATATGGTGTCCATAAAGTTGCATCGATACTACCATCTAATTTCTCGGTTCCTGGCAATCTAAATTGAAGTCTATATGCTTCCGAGTGTGCTCGTGCATCCAGATCCCTCTTCAAGAATGATGGCTTCTTAGGCACATTTTTGCTAAATTCAGAATTAATTCAATACATTTTTGCACAATTTAAAAAAAAAATATAATCATATCAAAATATACCTTAATTTATTCAGTAAATCTCTATCCTCATTAAATCCACTTTTTTCATCGATAAGTCTAAAAAGAAAATAAGAATTGATTTACAATAAATTAATACATGATGCAAAGGTAATGTTTATTTTCTGTGTTATATTTTAAAAATAATCATATACCTTTTCATAGCAATATTGGTCAGTTGCTCCATTAATGAATATGTTTCTGATTTATGTAAAAACATAGAAAAATAATGCTGTAACATATAAAGAATCAAGTATTGAGCTGACTGTACCATATGAAATGTATCATGACATACTTTGATAACAACACATAGAAACGTATTTATGTGTATTAATATACCTCTTTATTGTCACGTGTCACGATACGTATACTGTCTGGAACTAGAAGGGAATTAGTTTTGTTCAATTCCGTGATATCTGTCCATCTTACAATCAATTTGGTCTCTCTTGCCAGTATATAAGCATAAAAACACATATGATTGACAGATAAGTAGAGCCATCCTTGTCTAGGTAATCGAGATTTCCAATAGCTAAAAGAAAAATATATTTTACAATATTTATCTTTCAAATGTACTTAATATTTTATTTTTACGTAATCATTATATAGTTAAAATATAAAGACCTGCAAGAATAATAATTGACCAATTTGTCCTCTTTGGGTATATTGAATAATTGGTGAAACTTAAAAGACACAGTTTTAAAAGATTCTGGATCTTCTTCTGTAAACAAATATTAATATTCAATTTATGCATTTGTAATTTATGCTTACAATTTAAATAAGGGTTAATAATTCTACCATCTGCAAATTGAGAATCCGGGATGCTATTTGCTATTATAGACTGAATTTTGCAACAAACGAATTCCGTTATCTCTTCCTCAGTATCGAACGATGTGAGCGTAGTCATTAAATTTGAATGGAGCCATTCCCAATCCTGTAAGATCTCTTCACGAGTCAAGGAACACGCCACCTCTGCAAGTTTCGAATATAAGACACATAAGAGATTTAAATTGTTTCTCAAACAAGAATTTAAGCAAAATCTAATCTATTTTGTAATTCCTTTCATATTGCGATAACACATAAATATAATATTTAATGTAGGTGAAAGCAATAAACTTCTTGTGTTTCTCTGATAATTGTTTATGCTAATAAACCTTGTTATCAGTTACTGTGCTATTATCACTGTTACTAAAATAATATTTGCATACATATTCGTTGTCCTTGGCTTTTTAAATGCATAATACAAAGAAAAACAGTATTTAATAAGTGATATCTATAACAATTTAAAATTGTTATAATTAAAATTATACCAACAAGAACTATTTCCTCTCTTTTTTTTCTACTTCTTTCTTTCTCTAAAATATTTTATATTTTTTCTAACTCTTATATTAAAGCTTTCAATTATATAATATATAATATAATACCCCAATAAACTTCCGACGACGGTGTCTGATGAAGAATTCTAAAGGGCGGTGGTTTAGTGTCGAAAACGCTGTCCAATGTGCCCACCAATATAGAAGTAAGCCCTTTCGTTTTTCCATGTCCTTTGCGACGTTGCAAAACAAAATATACAGTCGCCTGCTCAGTAATCCTGAGTAAAACAACAATATAGAATTACATATTATTATACAAACGTCTTCTATCCAAAAAAAAAAACTACTACTCTACGAAATAAACAATACTCACACATTCATAACAAAAATATTTCATAAATATCTACAATAAAACAAAAGATTAAAAATCAAATACAATGAATTAAAAATTGAAATACAAGTTTCTTTAAATATATATATATATATATGTGTGTGTGTGTGTGTGTGTGTGTGTGTGTGTATAAACTAAAAATAAATATGTAACGTTTCAACAAATATTGATTCTCTTGCGGAGATCTCTCATCAATTATTATTATTATTACTAACGACTTTCTCTTCCCGTTAATATTCAGTAATATTTGAGATTACTGAATGCTATGTCTGATTAGTGTCAAACTGACCACGTCAGATTAGTGTCAAACTATATACATTCTCGCTTATCGTGTCAGATGTCGATACTTTGCCGCTTATCAAATTCGACGAATCCGACCAAACACTTGGCATGACAGCTGAAGGCGCGTCGCGCTCTCGCGTCGAGCCAGGCGTTTCGTGGCAATTAAAAACGAGAAATTTCGTCGCGTTACGACATCATTGCGAGACTCTGATAACCGATAAACGCCGCGGGCGCGAACGTCACGCGCGCGAAAGTGACCATCGGAGCCTCCCGTCAGCTGTCTCTGACGTGATGTAAACATTCCGTCTACGGAGCCCGGCCGCCGGAATCGTTCCCGCCGCATTGGCGACGATCGCGAGATGAACGGCGACCTTACCAGAACGCGTTGGCGAGCAGCACCTCCTGTGGCTTCACCCACATCTCGACCACCGTGCACGCCGCGCGAGGTACATATGGCACTGACAGAACGGCGACAGCAGCAGCAGCGGCGGCGGCGACGGCGGCGGCGGCGGCGGCGACGGCGGCGGCAACACGACGACGACGACGACGTTGATGTCGTGCGCGCGCGCGCGCGCAATCCTTCTCGAGAGACGGTTACGAGACGACAGCGACGCGAGGGGAAGGGAAAAAAATAAGAGAGGCACCCGCGATGGATAAACAGCAACACTGACACTGGCCGCGACGACGACGGGACGATCAGCTGCGATCCGCGACAGGCGCTCGCCACGCCACGCGGGATGAAGCGAATGTCACTACGACGGGAAGGTCCCATTATCGGCGATCGATACCGCGACCTCGTGCTCTCGAACTCCCGACGCGGTCCCGACGGCGACCCGAGTCCGCGTGGATTTTCGTCTGGGGCGAACGCCGATTTTTAATCAGGTCGACTGATTTTTAATCGGGTCGACGTCAGAGAGATGTACATTCATCATTTCTATTAATATTTATTAATTTTAATCTCGTTTAATTCATTCTTTATCTTTCTGTAATTCTTAGAATGAAAAAAAAGTTGAATCGAGATTGAAGTTGATCTATCGGATAAAAGCAGATAGTAATGTGGCTGTCACAGGAAACATCATTAGTGCGATGATATAACTGATTGAACACTGAACACAAATGGGATAGGAATTGTTTGAAGGTTAGATGTAGTGATGATCTATTTGTGTGAAGTCGATTTGCAAAAATTATTGATTTCGAGATGCTTGTAATAATCAATTCTGTAATGTCTATTTCTATCGGTGTAGATTTATTTAAATTTCAATTTACTATGTATCTTTTTTGAATGTTTAGAATTAAGAGATCTACATTATGATCTGAATTATGACCTATATTATATAGAAATAGATATAAGTAAACCTTTTTATCTAGAACGGAAAGATTGTGTCTTGAATTATAAAAGAACTATTTATTTTCATTGCAGAATAATCGAATAATTCAAAATTTTGTATAAAGGAATTTTGTGATTTTCAAATTGATTTTCTAAAAAGTTTGTTGTCTCTTCTCTTGCAAATTGACAATATAAGAATTCATATCTCTATGTTGTTTAATAATCTTATATAATTAATTTTTTTAGGCAATTACAGTACAGTCACACGATTCTAAGCTGCTGATAGCTAGTTCACTAGACTCTGAATATTTCTAAGAGATTTAATTCTGATGTAGAATCTGTAGTTGTCAAAGAAATCAAGTACAGGATATAAAAAAAAACAAGATTTAATACTAATGTATTAATGTCAAGTCATTTTGATAATAAAATGGAATGTTTGGATACAATCAACCACCCAGAATCATGGGTGAAAGAAAAGTATCAAGAGGTTCAGAAATTACTGAAGGAACATGAGGGAAAAATTGATCCTAGTAAGATTTATGAGAAAAAGTCTAAGGCGGTAGAAATTTTGTTGGAAATATTGGAAGCGCTTATACATTGCAAAGAGACCCTTTGTACTGTAGCGGCCGCAATAACTCATTTAAACATAGGTATATTACAGGCTGATTTGGAAGATACAGGACTCGCTATAGAATATTTCAAAAAATGCATCGATTTATTAGAAGACAGCAAATTAACGGCTGAAGGAATATTACCAGCTGTAAGCGCCAACAATCAATTAGGTTTGATTTACGCTCAACGTGGTTCATACGAAGAAGCTAAAGATTTTCTAAAACAAGCTGAAGATTTATATATCAAGTTTACAGACGATATTAAACTTGATCCCGTTCACATGGTGACTATCATGGGTATCGAGGAGATTGAAGGAGATCTGTGTGCTAAAAGTATTCTCGAGAAGCTTCACACGTTAACCCTATATTATTTAGCACAAGTCTGCCGTGAGCTAGATGATAAGTGTAATTTTGCTTTATATTGTCACAGAACACTGAGCAAACAATTGAGTCAAAACAAGATAACGCAAGATCTAGATTATGTCGACTGGGCTTTAAACGCCGCAACGATATCTCAATATTTCATAGAACAAGACAAATTTCCACAGGCGAGGCATCATCTAGCTGCGGCGTCCTGTATATTGGAGAAATACTCGGAAATCTTGAAGGCAAAGGGTACCAGGGAAACAAGCGAGAGTCTTGCTGCAGAATATGAAAATTATGATCACAGATCGGCGAGTATCGCTAGATGCTGGGCAAAGTACGGTATTGCTCTCCTAGGAGCATCCAAGGAAAGGTTATTGAAAAGATTTGAACAGGAAGAAGAACAATATTTAAAGTCCGCAAAAGTTTCCAATGAAGCCTACAAATATTCTCAAACTGAGACCATGGAGGATCCGAGATTTGTAGATCTAGAACCAGAGTTGGAATCGATTACTAATGAAATCACGGATATGTACCTGTTGGATTTTAATGACGCCAGACCAGTGTTCCTAAATGTTCGAAAATGGTTGGATAAAGCGAAGGAGTACTACACCTTCGAGAATCACGCGTCCGATTATGCCTGGATCGCGCAAGATCTCTCTCAAGCGTACAAGTATCTAGCGTTCTTCGAGGACAATGAAGACAGGCAGGCGAGAATGCACAAACGGCGAATAGACATTTTGGAGAAAGTAATCGAGGGATTATGCCCGCGGTACTACCGGGTCGTCTGCAGGGAGATTTGGATCGAGCTGGCAGAAACGTATTTGGAGATCCTGGATTTGAAGTTCGAACGTTTGCAAGCGTCCAACGAGAAGGCGACGCCGCAGATGATAGCGAAGATTGAGCGCCTGTCGAGAAACAGCATAAAGCACTTTCAGTCCTATCTGAATTCTTTGGAGATGAGCAAATCCGAAAGCGGGGTTGAATCCTTCTCGGACGACTTGCTACATCAGGCGTTATACGCTTATTTTCACATAGGTAGATTGTACAATAGGATCATAACTTCTGATGTGCAGCAAAAGATAGAGAATATGCAGAATAGTATCGATGCGTATAGCTTCATTGTCAATTACTATGACAAGCATCCTGAAAAGCAAGAGAAATTAGATAAATACGAATTTATAAAACTATCTAAAGAATTCGTCACTTTGCTGCCGCTTTCGTTAGAGAGATTGAAGCAGCAGCAAATAAATCAATAATTCCGTTCTCTTTTCTTTCCTTAGATTGTTTTCTACTTCACATCTCTGTGAAATATTATAGAATATGATATATTTTGTTATATTTTCTTTTACAGGAATGACTTACAGAATCTGTAAAATATGTCGCATGTATTTAAAATGAATACTCTCGTATGTATTTGTCACGCTCATTCGCTCAGATACATATAAATGTAATATAATAAAATTATTAACGTTTGTAATGCACATAACTATACATTACATTGCTATACATTAAAGAGATATTTAAGATGAAGAAGCTACTTTTAATTTATTTTTATGTTTCATTAGACCGTATTGTCCAGAAATATAACAAAAATAGAAATCTTTAAGAAATTTTAATAAATATTAATATAAATTATATCTAAATATAATTCTATCATAAATTATATAACTTTTCTTACATTTTGAAATTTAATTTTAAAAATCTACATATGGTTTCTTTTTCAAATAATAATATAAACATATCATAGCCTAACATTTCACATCTGAATATAAAATAAAGATATAAAAAAAATTGATTAAATGAATGTTGTCGCTACTTTAGCTGATAAGATTGATAAAGCCGCTGTGAGTAGATGTCAGCACGTGCTCCGAAGTTTCCCCGAGTAATTCTCGAGTCGACCGGAAGTGGAAGGTTCGGAGGAAGGAGCGAAGAGAAGGAGTCTTGAAAAGTTTCGTCAAGCATCAGGTCTCGCAGCGGCAAGAACCAGAGTCAGAGTGTAAACTCGTCGCCGGTGCTTATCTCGTCCGTGTATCGTGGATGAAGAATGGCATCCCTAGCAAGTGTTCGGTTATTGGCAAGGAACGCCGGTCTCAGGAACTCGTTCAGTCGGCTGCGTTGTGTGAGCAGCGTGCTCGCACAGGTGCGATGCGAGCGGAGGTTGTTGCATCGGACCGCGCTCGTCGTCCCGCAGGTAATGTGAGATGAATGGCACATCGCGTGACTCCCGCGATCGACTTCTTGCCGATTGTGCTGGCGTCAGCTTGTGGATCGCGTATTATGTAACTGACGCGACCTGGAGCGCTCAATGAGATGCGCGTCGACGTCGACAAACATGAGTTCGCCGGTCGACCAAGCTTGACTCGTCCGAGCACGACGGACCTGCTCGTTGAGTTTTGACTGCGCCTTCTTGGACTCTTGATGTTCATGAGTTCCAATTGTACTAAATGAAAAAACTTTTACATTTAACACGTTCCATGCCGCATCAATTTTATGTGTTTTTGTCATCCATATTACTGATGACCTATGCGGTATGTTCATTATATTTGTCAAATAAATCATATTGCATAATGGCGACAAAACTACATAAATTATAAACAAAAAGGCCTGAAGCATCAATATTGTAATACATATCACAATTATGTATCGACAAATAATATCTCTTAATATTTCTTAATTCTTTGTTTCTTTTTATAGCTAAAATGTTAAGTGGCTTGAAAGAGAGTCCGGCGTAGGTCACCAGTGGTTTGAATGGCATGGAATGTGTTAACTATAATAAATTACAACATTCAAATATAAATTATCATGAATAAGTATAGAGAAAGAAAAGAAAAACTGATTGAAAAATTATAGAAAAATACAGAAGACTGAATATTTCAATTTTTCTTAACAAATAATTATATGAAAGGCACAGACAAAATCATTTGCTATTTATTCTGTAACTCTTAACAATAATGTTGACATTGTTATATTGTCGTTACACAGGTATAATACTCAGTAGAAGAGCGATGATAGTTGATCGTCTATGTTTCCAATTAAATAGTTTATTAAATTTCCTAATAAATAATCTACTGAATAATTACTAAACGCTGTCAAAATGAACATGCCCAATTAGGATATGGACAGACGGATTCCTAGAAAAGCTGTGCAATGACAGTGCAGCAATAATAATATATAATATTGTTAAAATTAATAGCATATAAAAAACCACAAGCGACAGTAGTAATCAGTGCAAATAAAGAATTATTGAAAACATGAAATTACTTTTAAAATTCTTTATTATATTGCTTGCTGGTGAATTTGTTTGCTACTTAAATTTTAATACTTATATTTTTTTATATGTCACTAGTGTAAGAATTACAGAATAGACTTAGAGTCTTTTAACACAACGTTGTTAAATGTAGTACTGCTTCCTATCCTAAAACATATAAGTTTTTGTTAGTATATGTACTTAAGATTTGCATAAGTAATTAATAAAAAAATAGTCTTTGAATTTATAAAATACATCCGCGATGTCATTAAGCAATGCAATTATGATACCAAATTTATTTAATAATTTTATTTAATAATTTTTATTTAATAATAAATTACAATGATTTGGAGAGGAAACGCATTAGAATATATCTTTTGTTCAATTTGCTTTCTTTATGAAATAATACAGAAGTTAAAAAAAAATAATATATATATATATATATAAAAATATATATAAAAAAAATTATTTGATGAATGCAGGTAAAATGCAATCGTGGATACTGTCAAGAAGTTAAAGCTAAATCAATTAAGGATATCGAAAAGCGCGTATTGAAGGCTGTGGCTGCTTATAATGAAACCATCGCAGAAAAGGTTACATGAAATATATCTTGCTTTTTGGGGAAAAATTTTGCAGGGCTTAAGGGACACACGCATCAAGCAGGTGCGCCAGTACAGTCATAAGGATCCGCTAACCCTTGACATTATCAATCAGCGGGTGCTCTTGGTTCTGAAACTTTATGACAAAATTGAAACCTCAAAGGTACTCTACAATCAGAGATCAATATTTTTGATACATTTACCAAGACGTTTCTGTAGATGACAAGTGTTCTACAACAAAAATATGAACTATAGAAATTCATCTTTAATTGAAATAGTAAAATGATGATATCCCTTTTAAACACACTTTCAATATTACAGTATAGCAATAACAATTTTCTATTTGCACAAGATTATAATTCTTTTCTTGTTTGCTGAAACGTTTTGAGAAATTTTTTTTAAAACAAAAATAATTGGTTACACCTCGCTTGATCGTGGCGTCTGCATATGTACTGACATGGATATAAATTTACGCTGGTTAAGTCTTATTTATTGAATATAATGTGATTCAAAATATTGTATTACCATCTTTAAAAGATATATATTATAGATATATATAAAAGACATATATTATAAAAAAATATTTATCCTGTTCTTATTTAATTTAGATTTAAATATTTCATTCTCTTCTCCCATCATATATCAATTCATTCTATTGATTTAAAAGACATGTCAGTTGTGCAGGAAGCCCATACGTGCAATTGAATCCTAATCTAACAATATGTGTTGCATCTTCAGTTGAACTTAGACTCACATTTCATGGATGATCTGGGTCTGGATTCCTTGGACCATGTGGAGATCATAATGGCGATGGAGGACGAGTTTGGCTTCGAAATTCCAGACATGGACGCGGAAAGACTATTAAGACCTAAGGATATAGTGCGCTATGTCGCGGACAAGGAAGACATATATGAATAACACGTCTTATGTTATTTATCTCTATGCGTTTAGTCAACATCCGCCGTTGTTTCGATCGGAAATAACGGATCAGCATCTTACTGGCTACCATTGTTTTTTTCTGTATATAGGTCACTCATTTATGTGAATAAAAAAATAAGCGAATTGTTATATATCGACTTTCTATTATACGAATGTCCCAAATAATTGTAATAGAAATTACTTTTGGTAGTGATCAGTCTTTATTTTTTGTATTTATTAATGTTGTATGTATTTCACTGGTAAAAATCTTTACTATTGAAATTATGATTATGCATATATAATAATTAAGGCTTATGCTGACTCATTGCAACTTAAATTATGTTAGATGCGAGATGATACATAGTGAAAATTCTTGTAAAATACATTTTTTGTTAAATGTTATATATTTGAATATATTGAACCTAAAGTTCCTAAAATAAGAGTTTGGAAATAAGCAACTTTTGATCGATTTGTCACAGGTTACCGCTGAAAATTTATAATATATCTAAGTGATAAATTTTCTCTTAATTTAAACTAGAAATTATTAAGAAGAATAAATATCATATAAAATTACATAAAAATATAATCAATAAAAATATATCAATTAAATTTCTCAAATAAAAGTCAAATGGACTGTCACTGCATCTACTATATTTTCTTTCTTGATTTTTCTTAAGAGAAAATTTTTAATTTACTTTGTTAATGAATTTGATTAGACTTGACTAAATTGTCATCGACAAATACAGATTATTCAGCATATTTCGCAATGTTTTGCGAATCTGTTCGCGCCAATCCCTTTTTCTTTGCCAGTCTTGCCGTGCACTTTTAGGATTATCTCATTCGTCGTACGAATTGTTCGAACGCGTTGATTGGTTACAAGAATAGAGAATTTTGTAGCGTGATAGACGGATTTGCGCATGTATAGTATACGTGTGGTTGGTGAGAAATATGTATGTTGCCGCTCAGCTGTGCCGGAAGCCGGAGCAGGCCGGAGATCGAAGAGAGCTTTGATTAAATTCGGCAATCAAATTCTCTTTTCGGGAAAGCATACTTTTTACCTAGTTGCAGCCAGTTTATTTACAGAATAATGGCGCTCAGTCCTACAACGATGTCGAAATTGAAGAACAAGGATTGCGTGAATAAGATGAGACATGGCTCACCGAAGTTGCTGGAGATGCTGCGAAAGGTTGGGAGGCAACGTTTATTTCCACTGTAATTTTTAGGATTTATGTACGATAGTAATGCACAAACGCGAGCTAATGTGGTTTTTTGTTTAAAATTTTCCAATTCTTTTACAAATATTTTATAATATCTTTTACAAATATCTTTGCGTGCATAAAATATTCTTCGTTATCTTATATTTTGGTTGAAGTTCGATATCTTCAGTGTCATCAGAATCGATCGAATACTTATGATTTAGAATCAAAAGGAATCATATTTATCATTCCTTTTATGTGCTCTATCTGCTTTCAGAGATGTCGTCAAAGAATGCGAGAGAAGCGCGATCAGTTATTTAATAGAAACAGATTCGCCTTGGAACCGAAACCTGTGCAGCATGCACTGACAGAAATTGTACGCCAAGAATTTAAGAATCTAACAACATCAAATGATCGCAATGCAGATCTTCCATTCAAAGTAATTGACGAGCCTCTAACATTGGAAGAAGCAATCGAGTTAGAAAACGAAATTGTTCGTGAAGAAGGTATGATTAATATTGAAATTTCATAGTATCTTTTAATAAAATATAAATAAAATTTGGTTTATAACTTGTAATAACATAATTATTAATAATCTAGTTTTGGCAATAATACAAATTTGATAGAGTAACATTGTTATACAGAGCAATGGATATTTCAAGAATATGAGAAGATTTTGCAAGACGAGCTTGAATACCTAGCGATGTTTGCTGACAATGAGAATAGAGAAATATTCTGTCCCATATGCCAAAAAGCTATATTAACAGAAGGAAATGATTGTGTAAATTGTCTAGTTTGTGGATTAAAATTGACAGGTCACAGTATGCAAGAGGTGAGACATTTAATTAATGAGAGTGTGAACATCCATGCGTTCAATTGTGTCCAAATACCAGCATTCGTAGTAATACCTGATAACAATAATCTCAATTTATATCTGGTATGCCATGACTGTTCTACTTTAGCATTGATTTGCTGATCATTTTATTAGTAATTAACTTATTGAAAATAAGACTGTTAGGTAACATACAACAAAAAATACATACAAAAAAAATTTTAAATGCTGTCACTATCCAATGTGTGTCCAAAGAATAATTTGCATTAGAACAAAGTTTTAATGCTGATTATAATTTCCTTAACATTAAGTTTTTTTGTAAGAAAATATTTATGAATTTATATAGATTACGTATATCTTTCTATTTATAAAAAAATCTAAAAATTAATTGCTGAGTATTAATATTCATTATAAAAACTTTTCAAATCTTTCGTTTTCAATGCAAAGAGCAATGGAAGAGCACATTTGCGAAGTTTTTTGAATATTAGAAAAGATTGTATTATCTGTTTGTATTCCATGATTTTGATTAATCTTAACTTTGATTAACAAATTAACCTTAATTTTAATATAGATAATATCATATAGTATAATTTTTTATAATATTTGATACGCAATACAATATTGCGAGGTATAAAGAAAAAATGCATCAAGTTGAATTTCTTCATATTGTTGTAACATTTGAATAGTAACATGTGAATCTTTATGATTATATGATACATATTGTACAAAAAAAAAAACATCCCTTCGATGAATTCACTTATATTATTTATCACTTATGCATTGTACATGGTGTAAGTTGAGTGAGGGCATCTATATATTGTATAAAAAATAACATTTTTAATGCTTTAAAACAAAACAAATTAATAGTGCATACGCAGCCAAGTGTCAATTTAAAAAAGAATTTCAGCTTTCAAAGAACTGACTATGTTGATCTTTCAACATTTGACTATATACAACATTTTATATAGCGAACAAGTTACAATATGTAGAAGCCCTTTGTAGCTTAAGCTAATTCGCGCGCGCGCTGATACTAAAATCTTTTGCAAATGATTTGTACATTATCACATGAATTTCCACATTAAAGATCTTGTTTTACATAACAGTGTGAATATGAAACTTATGAGCAACCCCCTTTTTATCGTCTCCGCAATGATAAACTATATAGTGTATATACATACACTTCTTATTGGCGTAGTTGTGCAGTATATAGCGTAGCATGTTCATATGAAATAATTCATAGTTTATAATAAAAAAATTATTTGCATTTTTACTCTTCAAGTCATACTTTCCAGAAATTCATCTTTTCGATTCTTGAATTGTCTTTGCAGTCTATTAGAACGTTTATGGCACTGATTCTATTCTCTTTTAATTATCGTTTATCATATTAATTTCGTAAAGACGTGATCTGGAGTTAAAAAGATTTGTTCATACAATCTATACCGTTTTAATAACTATATATTACAGTAACTTCTAGTCATAATCACGTAATATTTTATATAAAAAAAAAACCTTTCTTTTTTTTCAAAAAGATACGTAAAAATATTAAGAGATCCAATCTTTTATCAAAGCGCAAATTTTTAATTTCTATATTTTAATAATAATAATCATGCTTATTAAGTTATTAGCTGAAGGACATTTCTCAAAGCAATGGAATGAGTTTTATCATATATAAATTTATTATGCGTAATTATTGAAAAATTGTATAAATATATAATAACTCTTTTCTTTACTGTATGTGTGTTTTACAAATTTGTAAAGATATTAGAATATTCTTTGATCTTGTGTACAATTTTACATGTATACCATTGCGCGAAATAAACAAAACAAGTACACATTTCTTTTTTTATCAAAAAGTAATTATCTGCAAATGATTGTGCCACAGCATTGACATACTTTATATTGTCAGTATACATATTGCAATATGTTATGTGTGTACTCCAATATATTATACACTGCAATATAATTTGTGTAATATTCGTTTTATACAATTTGTAATATAAAACGTTTATTACTTTAACTTGCCGTAATAGATTTTACAACTTTAACGTGATGTTGCAATAAAAAGAGGAATTGCATCTAAACTTTTATCTCTTCTTCCGCGATTACTGTTTAATCGAATATTCTGTTTTCTTTTTGTTTCGCATTGACTTAAGTTATACGGTAACTATCATTCTTTGCGCGCGTCTGTATATATGCACATAAAAATTCAAAATTTACATATATACATATATGTATATACAGTAGCTAAATATATACATATAAATCTTGAATTTTTTATTACAAACGCTGTTGATTCACGCATTTGATCACTGAGTGGATCGTCGACGTTCCGTTCGATTGACTGCCGCGAGTGCTTCTTCGGGAAGACGGGCTGGATCTGATAAAATATCAGTGGCAGTACATAGATACCTTAGAGAATTCAGAACAGCTGAAAATAATATATTAATATAACCGTACAAATATTTATTGCATTATATTATATGTATTTCGTTTAATATTATTGTATTGTTAAATGTATAAATTATTGTAATATTAAATTTATTTGTATTTAATATTATATTTTTTTTACATGTTAAATTCTTTTTCAGGTATTAACATTTTTTATACATTACTATATATTGAAAACTATATACTATATACTATATACTATATACTTGATATTATATATTACTATATATTAATATATTGAAACATTTAAAATTTTTATGTTTAGAAAAGTCTTAAGAATAATTTTGAACAAATTTTTTCTCTTATTGGTATTAATAAGTTTCTTGAAAAATTCATACAAATTTTGTATCTTTAAATATAATGAAGATATTTAGGTGTATCTTTTTAGATATTTCCTTTGTATACAAACCTGGTCTGAGATCGACGAGTGAACAATGCTGTTCTACCCATAAAATTGTACTTCTATACAAATCCTCGATACTCGCAGTTGAGACTGAAGCATTGAAGGATAGCATTAGCGGCTCTAACAATATACTGAACTGATTATTATATTGAGGAAAACACTATTTTGAAATTTTATATATTTTATACGAATCAATATATTAAAAAGAAGAATAAAAAAGGATACAATCCAAAACTTCCAGTTTTCTCGCGTGCGCGTACGTACATATTCATCAAACATTTCTTTCATCTTACTGGTTCTGTGTCTAGAAACTGGAGCACCCGTTGCAGGAAGCATAGATTGACAATTACTACAAGAATATAACATAATGAAACATTCCAAATTATCTTATTTATGGGAAATTATATATTTAATAAGATATTACTATCTATTATCTCCAATAATTATTATTTAATTTTCATAATTTATAGAAAGTATGACTTGAACATACCTAATAGACGTATTAAGGCACTCGATTTGATGTCTCAAGCTATCCATCTCTTCCTTTAATTGATGTCTCTCCATTCTAAGTTGCCGAATATAATCCGCCCCTTTGTGCAGCATCGCGGCTTTGCTCAGTTTCGCATTGGAATTCTGACTGAGCTGTGGTATAAGACTGTGCAATGTGTCGAAGCCGTTCTTAATATTATACCTACGCTTCTGTTCTGCATGAATGTGGCCAACTCGCCTCTGTTCTTTATATTGTCCTCTTTCCGATTCACCCTTCATATATCCACGAGTGGGTGATAACGGGCTACCTATGTTCATGGGACTATGTAGAGGACTAAGACTTAAAGCTTGAGGACTATGCGCATTAGAACTACTATCTTTTGGCGAGCCTGGACTATTTTGAGATTGGTGCGTTTGACTGTTTGCATTTAAGAGGATTTGCTGGCCTGTAGATGGTTGCATTGTCTGAAAGATATTAATATGAATCATTGCGATTATTTATATTTATGTAAATTAATATTTTTTATAAATAATGTTTCTTACAATCAATACCTGTTGCTGTGGTTGCGTTTGCTGTATGCTAGAAGTTTGCATTGTTTGCACAGTCACCGGGGTCGTGATGTGTTGCGTTGTCGTTACTTGCGTTACTTCTATAATGAAAATAATATATAGGAATTAACTTTATTAATATATTTAATAAAATTTAATTAATATAAAAATATGTTGCTTGAACAAGTGAGACAGATCTTTCGACAGATCTTTTTTTATAAAAATAAATAGGAATCTATATAAGAATAAAAATACATACTATTTGTGAGTAAATGTGCAAGCAAGACATTGTTATTCAGATTCAAGGCTGGATCGCTCACTGCGGATACTAGCGGCGGCGGATGTATTCTAGGTGCTGTTAAAGATGAACTGCTTCGCGATCTATTTCTCCCTTTTATTTGATACTAAAATATAAAATATAAAATATAAAATATAACAAAATCATTTTAATAAACATTTCAATTATTTAAATAATAAAACTAATTTATCGAAGATTTAATGTTTCTTTTAAGCTGCCTGTAGATTATTGGTCCAGAACTACGATACTGACTTTAGGTACGGCGAAGATCTCTTCTTTTTCCGCATTGGATGTTGTTGGTTGAGATAACAGCTTGGTTGGATGTAGAGCAGGCGCGGTAAGGTCTAAACCAGATGATCTACACTGTAATAATATCTGCGATTGCGATGGTTCTGATGTCGAAGAAACGGATACCACTTGTTGCGTGGGATGTGTCTGAAAAATAAACAACATATTAATTCTGTGTATATTAACTATAATGTTCAACAAGCGTTATTGTAATTTAATTACCTTGAAACTATTAGTGCTAAATTTACACTGTTGAGTATTCAAATTCTGTACGAGGTTCGGAAACTTGTAACATTGCTGCTGTGGTTGAACAATCTTGTAAGGTTTGCTAGACATCGGTGAGGCAGTCGGCAAAGGCCTTATTGCTGGATGCTGAGTTTGCAGTTGCGAGTTGACGGTCTGCGCAGCGAAATTATGCTGTACCGTCACCAGATTCTGCACGGCAGTGATCGAGGGTATTTGACTGGCATTAATCGCCGATTGATCATTCAGAGTTGCGATCTGCACGGATTGCGGCTGATTCTGCACTGGTGTTAATCGTACCGCCTGAATCTCCATCGCGTAAGACTGCGATTGCTGCGACTGGAAGCCTGAATTTTGCTGCGTAGTCGCTTGATATGTATTCTGTGATTGTTGCTGCTGCTGCTGCTGCTGCTGCATCACGCGGTTACTTCTTGACGACGTCGCTCTACTACTTCTAGTTTTTTCTCGCATGGATTGACTCGTTGCAACGGACGCCTCGAAATTCGGCTGAAGAGCGTAATCTTCACTCATGACTCTAAATGGAAAAGAGTGTTATATCCGTAAATTATAATTGGACCTCGGACTTTGTACTTTATCTGTTTATCCGTAATCCGTATTTCATAATACTCACATATTATTTCTATACACACTCGCTGCTTCAGGTTGAGGTTGCGTATATATCTTGGCAGTATACTGGAGATTCTGCATGCTGGCCTCTTGCTCTTCCCGCGGTAGCTGTTGCTGTTGCGAAGCTTGCCCACTTTTTATTGTTAATGGATCCTCGCCTATTTCGTTTATTTGATTAATTGGTGTCATCAAGTCCAGATCAGAATAATTAGCATTTAGACTGCTATTCCGAAACATATCATCCTCCTCGGGTACAGGAGGCAATTTCGAGTTTAGGAATTCTTAAATCAAGATAGAAAGATGTAAACGTGAGAAACATGCGAGGAACAATCTCATGTGAGATCATTAAATATCATTGTATACCTTGCAATGGTTCTAAAGTATCCATAAAATCGTCTAAATTTGGTTGCAAAGGGCCTAGACTAGGTTGAATGAAGTCCGCTAAACTGGCACCTCGAGCTATCGAATCATATTTTTTGTATTATATATTCATATTTTACAATAATATAATCTTACTTCTACAATTATCATTCACAAAAAATAATAAATTTTAATTGTTTAGTAAAATAAATATAGATAATATACAGATATAGATAATATTTTCTGTTATTAAATATATATTTTCTGTTATTAATACAGCTTTTGCTTGATAATCGTTATCAATTTATCAATATTAAAGTTGAATATAATGTACAAATAATAACTATAATCGGTATTATTTTTATCGAGAAATCACAATAATTTATAATAAGAATTCTTCAAAGAGTCAAGAATACGCGGTGATGCGTACAAGCAAATATAATTTATAATTATAATTATTAAAAAAAATTACCGATTTCTCTAGGATCGGGGAAGTATATTGGTTGATTCGAGCTGATAGTTGAGAAAAGGGTATCGGTCATCAGTTCCATATAGTCTTCGTCAACCATCATACTCTCCCCACCTGGAGCTCCGCTCGTATTACCGAATGCATTTCCTGTACCCACTCCAAAGTTACAGCTTGTTCCACCTCCACCGCCCCAATCTAGCATATCCATTGACTCCATCTGAAAGAAGGATTATTTTGCATTATTTTGTATTACAATCTTTTATATACAATAAAAAACAATAAAGCTTATCTCGAGGCCTATTTCGAGGCCTTTCCAACCAGACACAATGAGACAACAAAAGAGACAATGAGACTTAAATTTATTAGTTTTACTTTTTCAAACATTATTCCGTAGCTTTCAAAACAGCGGATATGTTTAGGCAAATCTCTTACTCTATACAGATACTTTCGTAAATGTAATTCTTTACATACCATCTCTGTGCCATCTTTGTTCGTCCAGCCAAGGATCTTGTTTCGGTAGAACATGCGCCATTTCTTGTATTCCGCTGTGACGGCTGCGAGCTTTCGTTTCCAGTATTTTCCCTCTAAGACTACCGCCTGATAAGAGATACGCGATTGATTCACGCTCATTAAACGTAATTCTTATTAGCGAAGTGAAAATATTTTATGGTTTTGCGAGCCATCTTGGATTTTCTTATTTCTTCAAATACACGACATCGTGCGCGCGTACACGATAATTTGCTATTGCAACATTTCGAGAGGAATTACAACTGCTACCAATTATCTAATCGAATAAACTGTCGCCAATTGCGATAAAGACACTTTCCAATTGCGTAACTGGACAAAACCAAATAGTAAAATACGGGACCATTGCTATTTAATAATCACCATATCGACATGCGATGTCTGATTCGTTGCTATCAAGATCGAACGATTATTAAAAGAAATTACCAACTCGCCAATCTTTTGCGATTATTCTAAATACAGATATTATTAAATATATGTCTCCTATACAAACAAATACATATTTTTTTAGAAGATTAAAATTAGACATACCTCAGGCTTATTGTGAGTATCCACATCAAGTGGCGATGCAAATTGACATACCAATGTATTTTGCTTCAATATGACTAAAAAAGAAAAAAAAGGAATATTTAAAATTCTGTTAAAAATTTGTTTGAAATAAATCTTATGATCTATCAAAGATTATAATTATTACATATGTAATAGATAAATATATAAAAATATATAAAAATGTTTTATTTTATTCTTGAAAAGTTATCGTACGAAAATCATAGGTTGTAATTTAAATAAATACGATAAAAAATCGATAAACTTTATGATTTAAAAAAAATATAATAATTACATTTGACATAGCAGAAAAGTTTACATTCTCATCGGAAATTGGTGGATGATAAACCGAACGAATTTAATTGCTCTTAAGTGCCATATCTAATTGTATACGTTTACGTTACAATTTATAAACACGCAGTACGATAATGAGAAAGAATTTAAAAAAAAATATCGCTTTTATTTAATCGAGCATAAATATTGATTTAGAAAATTACACAATTACACCAAAAATTTAAATAACTATAAACTAGTAACTTAAAAAAGTAATTCAATTTTACCAGTTTCCAAACTAGTTTCATAGAATTGTGATATCATAGATCTAGCAATTTTGCAAAAGATCATTATCTTTTCCTCAACGTTTGATTATGTTCTTATCTTGATATCTCTCTCTTTCTGGCTCGAGTTCTCGGACTAATAGAATTCAACAATTGCGCATACACGTAGATAAAACGAGCCTCCTCGGCTCGTAATGATAAACTGGACTCGCGCCAGGTGAGTATTATTGATGCGAATGTAGCACACGGAGATGGAGCTCTTTAAATAGACGGGTAATTACTTATCCGGCCATTCGACGAACAGCAGGACAGCCGGTAGCTGTCTGAAATCGACAAGCAGCACTCCGCGTATGTCACGGTAATTGAAATATCAACAAAGCTGATTGCAGCTGAGATATTTTGAAAGAAAGAAAACGATAGATTCAAGTCCCGCATTTCTATAAAATTCGTTTTACACATGAAAAATTTAGTAAGATAAGCTCACATAATGTGTTCATTACTGATTCCGAATATCTGTATTTAAGTTGATTAATAGTTGATTAGAAATTATGTGGTTTTTTTTATTTTTGCACTTTGAATGTCCTAATGGAAAAGTATGAGATTTAAACATAGAAACACTTTCAGGAATTCAACTAATTTAATTATTTCATTTGGTATCGAGTGTTTTGATCGATAATACGATAAAGATAGATTAGAATCGAATTTGCGAACGTGATACGCTACAAGAGATAACGAAGTAAACTCGAAGCTTATCAATCAATTGTATTACTCCGCAGACATTCTCCCTCAAGAGAGTATAGATTTACGCAAAGATAAATTACATTTAGGAAGATATTCTCTAGATAGTGACTCTGTTTATTTTTAAGTTATGTATGTATCGAGTGATTGACGAAAGGATAGTTTTTTTTCTGCTTACATTGCATATGCCAGCATCTCCAAATTACGTTGTTCAATCTGATCTTGTCCTTCCATCTCAATCTGATGCCTTTGAAGCGATTCCACTTGGGCGATGTCAGCTTCTGTCTGGAACAAATCCAAATGCCCATACGTCATACCCACTGTGGTAATTAAACTCGAATCCTATATCACCGTATAAACAATATATTTTTATATTCACATGTTTACATAATCATGTACAATTTATTGTATATAATATGTACAATAAATTTTAAATTCATATATACACGGAGTTTAATGTATATACTTGTAACTTCTTTGTTAAGTTATAAGATATAATAAGTTAAATGGACCATGATTGCGACTTAGTAAATTTTAAATGATTATTCATTTCATTTTTATATACACAGAGTGTATTGAACAAATGAGTATATTTGAACAAATTTCATTTCTAATTTATCGATTAAATGGTGAATAAAATGGAATCACCATTAAATGGTGATTTATTTAGCGTCTCGATATATTTACTAAAAAAATAAATGATAAAGTAATCAAACAACATACGCAAAAAGTATGTATAAATATTATTAATATAATTTAGAAAAGTAAATCTTCAAAAGATATATTTCAAGAAAGACTCTTACTTTGTTTTAAATTTAATATTTTCTTTATGTACGAACATAATTTATACAAGTAAGAGAAATATTTAGTTGGTTTCAGTTATTATAACAGTTATAACGAATAAAAATGTATGAAACATAAAAATGTATGAGTGAGTGAATTAATAACTAAAACAATTAGTCATCATCACAATGGCATACGTCAGCGATGCTCCTCCTTAGAATATAACTCAGCCAACGAAATATATATTAGTTTAGACTGCCGCCTTCAAAACATTTCAATCAGATGGATGCATCGCAGTAGTTTTAAATAGACGCATCCAATAATTTTTGATTCGTCGGTAGAGTGTTTGTGATTTTCGACAAGCTTATCGGGCAGGCTGTCTATCGCCGGGAAACGACCCGTGCGCTTTGTGCGAGTTTTTAACTGCGAAGACACAGTTAGACACTAGTGAATTTCCATGCGAGAGTTCAACAAACGGCACGCTTGCACACATATTTCATTCTGATGCTCATTACTTAACATTAATTAATAAGGGCATACTTAAAGATTTCCAGTCAAGCTAATTAATTGACTTACATTCGTAAGTATTATTATTATTACTGGGCATCATAATTCTTTTCTTTTTCTAACACACAGTTTTTCAATTTTCAATTTTTAATGTCCTTGTAAAATTACCTCACACATTATTTTCAATCAATATTATTACAATATATATATATATATATATATATATATATACAATTATAAATATATGTTTTTAAATATTTTTTTCTGTTGGAAAGCTAACTTTTTTACAGTAGAAATATTTAAAAATGTATTGATAAATTCAACATTAATTTTGCAGAAAAAAAGCCATTTGTTTTTAATTTTTGAAGCGTACAGCTATAGACTCTTGCGGCAAGCTTTTCGTTATCATCTTCGTCGATATGTCATCGACGAAGAGTCAACAGAGAGAAAATATCTGTAGTCGGAAGATTTCCACTTGCTCGTATCGCTGCGACGAACATAGCGAGGGTTCTTCTCCTTGGCATTAGACCCTGGCCGGCCGATTTCTTTTCGAAGTTATATAGCTATTTCGATTTTTATAATTTTCTAAGTGATTAGATAAAGCCAAAGCTCGAAAAGTGCTATAGAGAAAAGAAGCAGCTGTAACGAATTCAATTTTGTTTTCATCCGAAATTATCTTATAACATTGTTCTATTATATATTTACGTGATTCTAATTAAGTATTTTTTTCCTATTTGCAATTAAAAAGAATAATTAAAAAGAATAAAAAGAATATTTAGTTTAGCACTTATAATGGAATACGTAAAAACGATTAACTTCTCCATACATCAAATTATAAAATTAATAAATACAATTCTGATATATTTATGCCAAGTATAATAATAATAATATAATATTGTAAAAAATATTACACAAGTTTTTAACTTCTTTGCTTATTTCATCTTATAGATTATTACATTCTTATTGGTAGCGAAGTTGCAACTGATACTTCCTACATTATAATTAATCTCAAAAATGAGCAAAGTTCAAGGCGGGGACAGATTCCATGTGGAGAATATCATTTTGAAAATTCTAAGAAGTTTTAAGCAAAAGGGAAAAAAAAAGAAAGAAATATCAGAAATTAATATTTTGATTAAATAGAATAGATTAAATAGATTAAATAGATTATATATTGTTTT